GCAGTTGGGGATAGTTGGGAGGTCAAGGACTTCCTTAATGGCAGAGGGCGAGAATGACACGTTCTTCCCTCTCACCATTACTTTATCATTGGTGTATCCTTCGGGCAGCCACTTTGCGTGGTACAGGAACTCAGCCAACAAAGAAGTTTAGAGCTCTCGTACATTGATGGCGAATAGAGTCCACCGTAGTTTGGTTAAAGCTTTCTTCTCGAATGATGGAAGAGGAGCTTTGTCCTGTAAGAAGATGTTTCTCTCTGGATAGAGAGCTACAGCATCTTCAGTTATTTCTGGGTCTTGGTTATGGCTAGCCATAAGGACAATGGTTACGGAGGGTCTAGTCATGGTTGAATAAAAAGAAGGTTAGGGCATAATGCAGAGGAGAGTGAGAATAAGAGCAACAATTTCTAAGGATAGCAGAGAATGGTAAAGATGGAAGATGACATGGGATGAGTTTAAATAAGCATGCAGAGGATGGAAAAAATGAGAGGTTTTTCAGGACGTGGAGGTTAAAGACAGGGAGTTGAGGAGGTCGTGGAATGGGGACGTTATGGAACGAAAGGTCAGGGTGAGTGGTATTCAACTGCTTCTGAAGGTGGTAAGGAGGTGGAACAGTTTTAGGTTAGAAACGTGGGAGAGAGGGAATAGGGTAGGAGTAGTTGCATTAATGGCTGAGGAGACAATTGCTTTTTCAGGGCATATTTTCAAAATTTGCAATGAGTGCAGATTTGATAACGGCTGCGTATATGTAAGTGACTCAGCATGGACATGTGTCCTTGTCACTCTTATCTCCTAAGCCAGGGAATGTTCCCTTTGTCTTTTACCTCTACTTTAATAATAAATTAATTCCTAATAAAAAACAAACCTACTTAATAAAAGAACTCTAAACAGAAGTTGCATGGCAAAAGGATACTTAATTATTTAAAAATTGCAAATGAAGGTGTGTGCAATTAAAATTAAACACACACACACACACACACACACATATATATATAATTTTTTTTATATGGGAATGTGTGGTTATTGAACCACCCCAAAACTACGTTCATGGAACAGAACATATTTTTATTTGGACTTGGAGTTGAACATCAGACGTTCCCTCCATTTTGGGAGCTATGTGGTTAAATCTAACCACCCCAAAACTTTGCTCTTTGTTAGAGGGCAAAGGTATCCATTGGGTTGCCTCCCAGTCAGCGCTTAGTTTAATGTCTTTAGCTAGACATGTTTCTAACCTCTTAGGTTTCTGGGGAGGTTGTTGAGGGGACTTCAGTATCCCCTGGTAAATGTCCTGGTGTCCTGGTATTGAGGCTGGCAGCTATCTGTCCCAGGTGGGATTCAATGTTTCTGACCACAACATCGTTCCTGGTGACATATTCTTTGACATAGCTTTCTGGGGTGTTGATGCATTGGTCCTCTCTTTGGAATGGAGCATAATTGGTTCTTCTTTGTGGTTCATATGCTTCGTTCTCACTACTTCTGCCTTGTTGATACTGCTGCTGCTGATTGTTGTATGGCCTTTGGTTCATGGGTGGTCTCCATTGGGATTATGGTTATGATCCTTCACTATGGTTCCTTTAGGATTTTGATTGTTGCTGCTACTTGCATTCTGATGTCTCTGGCTTGGTTGAAGTTTCTGTTCCCGAAACTTTCTGCATAACACACCAAGGCAGTAGATGGAAAGTCGGTTGAATCATGAAGGTCACCACAGGCTGAGCATGGTTCACTCTCAGTTGCTGTGAGTTGTAAGACTTCCATCCTTGGTTGTTCTTAATCAGCTTTCAGGTTCTTCATAATTTAATTTCACCTACCCAAGAGGAGGGGGTTTCCACTGCACCAGATACTCGCTTTTAAAATTATTTCGTAGTCCAGTTTTGCAGTACAATATCCTTGCTTCATCAAAATTCGCCAGATAGGTGCAAGCCAGCCTGATTGTCTTTCCTTCACTAGGAGATTGATTTTCAAAGATAAAGCTATTTCTCTCCTTCCATATGAACCAGCATATTAAGCCAAATAGTATATTTCCCCTACTCCCACCCAACATACAATTACTTTCCCGAAGATTGATATTTAACCAAGATTGCAGGGGATAAGATAAAAATTCTGACCACTTATCTAGGCTTATAATTGTTCTCCACACCTTCCTGGACCAGCTACAGTCTCTCATCACATGAATACAACTCTCAGGAGCCTCTTGACATCTGGGATAGATACTCGAACCAACTAAATATCTTTGAACTCTCTTTTGGTTTGTGAGTAGATTTTCCCCCAAGAAGCAGTCAGAGGAAATTTTTCACTCTAGGAGGCCATCCCATTTCCAGACTCTATCCCACTGAATGTTCTGTTGTATTGCTTCATCCTCACACAAAAATTTCCAAGCTAATTTAATTGAAAAGATCCCATCTTGCGAATTATCCCATATCACCCTATCTTCTCCCTCATCTGGGTTAGGAGGACAACAACTAGCAATGAAATTCAGAGCTTCTTGTGATAAGATGTCCCTCAACTCCTGCTGTAACACCCCGTATATATTCGGTTTGTTATTATGTCATCGTATTAAGCCACGCTTAATTTAAAAATGCGGAATATCTTTTTCTTTTCAATTATGACGTCATTATCAATTACCAGCTTGATTACTTAATCATTTTTCAAAACATCACCTGTATGTAAATTGCAAATAGACAACTACCTACACTGAATAACCTCATAATATATATAGGTGAGTATCTAAGTCACGAATCTACAACACGTAGTCCGGACAATATCCTGATACATTATTAATTACAACACCAAAACCAAAAGCGTAAAGTCAAGGCAATGTGGCATGGACAATCCCCATGCTCACCAAATAAACAGCATAGTCAACAAGGTCTCAACAAGGTAATCCATAAATGAAGCTACATCATAAAGTAGTAAACAAGATCCAGCATCCAAGTATAACATCAAAACAACATAAACATCATAAGCAGATATCATCAATCAACTAAGCTCTGGCCTCCTCCCACTAGAGGTCTCAACCCCCGTATTACCTGAACCTGAAAATGGTGCCCCAAACGTGGGGTGAGATCTCTAAAAAGAAATCTCAGTAAGACAAGGGGTCCTCAAGGATCTTCCACCCCAAGCTCACTTACATGTGCAATATAAGTTCAAAAGCCATTTAACAATATAAGTTCCAAAATAGTGCAATGTAACAGATAATCATGTCATGTGTGTTTATACTATTCTACTGATCAGAGAAGTGCAGGAATACGTCTATTACCCACACAGTATCAGCCCATGCTGTACCAGCCCATGTTGTATTCGCCCACAGGATCGCCCCATGACCTCCTGTGTAGGCGTCACACCACAGTATCATAAAGCATTTGCACTTAACAGCTCCATAACATTTCAATAAAACAGTATATGAAAACACATCATGCATATAAACTATCCCCCCATGGGACATGGTGGAACCAATAGTGGCTGAACCGAAGACACGAAAGCTTACCTCTTAAGTAATACATCCAAACCAAGAGCTCACACTAGCTCAAGCCCACAAACAGCACAATCACAATCTGTTTATACAGTAAATAATCATCAATAACCATATTTCCAGGTTATATTAAGTGATTAAGGCTTTCTATCTCATTTTAAGTCATTTTAGGCAGTTTCTGCAGAAGGTATTCGAATACTCCCCGATGAGTATTCGAATACTCCTGCTCTCCAGAAAGTATTCGACTACTTTCACTGAAGTATTCAAATACCACATGGTATTCGAATACCCACACCCCAGTATTCGACTACTTCTTCAAGGTATCCGAATACTTTTCTTCACAGAAAAGTATCCTAATACTCCTGCAAGGAGTATTTGACTACCAATGAACAAGTATTCGAATACTACACGAAAAATATTCGAATACTTCTTCACCAGAATGCAGAAATACGAACAGTGATCTGCACAATCCCATTTTTAAGGGTCTAAATGCGATTGGGAGTCCAATGACTCCCTAAACAGATATTCATTAACATGTTATGAACTCAGAAACACATTTCTTTACTCAAATGATTAAAGTTTCTCTTTTTAACCGATTAAACAAGCTTAAAACCTCAAAATGACAAAGGCTATGATCATATTATACCTCAAGCTCCAAAACTCCGAAAATGAGACACACAAGGGGCACTCTACACAGCACCAATGTTCTGACTTTGTCAAGCCACGAAAATACAACACAAGCTTGGACCTTTCCACTCAAAGATGGCTCCAAGAAGCCTCCAATAGCATGAACAATGGCTCACACCGAGGAGAACACCAACTCAGCCAACAAAACCCCCCTACAAGACAGAAACCAACTCAAAAACAAGGCACCATTACCTCCCCACCATGTACTAATAAGTGTTTACAAGGTTAAGTGTGAAGAAATCTAAGTAAAAAGGCGAGTTCTTGGCCCTCAAACAAGCACAAGGGTCCAAGCTTCAAGGGAAGGGACAATGGCTGAAGAGAATTAGCACTCAAGACACTCACGTAGCAGACAAATTATGGCCTAGGGTTTTGTGCCTTTTAGCTTAAATAGGTCCACTTAAAATAACACACAATATTAACATTAACAGCTACGCTTAGCATTTTAATCCCAAACTTGAGATTCTGAACCTACTCATTTTTCTAAGATTTATCATATTTTTTATTTTATTTTTCGCTGCACCTTTTCGTACGCGCTTTTCCATAGCCAAGATCAGTTTTGGCACCAGTTCTCATTATTTTAACTTGAAACTTGTTTTACAAGTCCTATATATTATTCTAGTAACATATACCCACTTTTTATAAATTTTCGGGATACTTCATCGGTACGCATTTATACTGAGTAGCAGAACCTGTATCTGCACTTTTCGTCAGAAAAACGACTTTCAACATTATTACTCACTTACCATGATTATTTAAGCTTCATAATAATCATTTGGGTCAATTATGGAATTATTTCCTAATTTCACATAATTAATTAATTAACTTCCTTAATTAACGGTGCGGGTTCTTACACCTGCCATTTCCATTCCCCTCTAGGATAAACCATATAAGCTATATCAGCATCAGAAATTGCTGAAGGGATCTCTTGGATAATGTGATTTTCCAGGGGTCCAATTTTCAACCATTTATCCTTCCAAAACGATGTTCCTTTTCCATTTCCCACCATAATCCTTGATCTATCACAAATCATGGGCCAAACCCTATTCAACCCCAACCAGAGATTAGAGCAAACAACCTTCCTTTGAATGTTAGGAATTAAATCATTCCCAACTTTATATTTGTTTTTGATCACCTGCACCCACAATTCATTTCTGGGAGTAAGAATCCGATGACCAATTTTCATCAAGTTGGCTTTATTAGTCATCCTCAAATTCCTAATTCCCAGCCCTCCAGCTTTCTTCTCCCTGCACACCACACTCCAAGAAGTAGCATGGATTTCCCTCTTCTCCTGGCTAGATCCCCACACAAACCCCCTCATCTTCCGCTCCACAGCTTCACAGGTGCTTGCAGGTATCAGAGCAGTCTGCATAGTATAATTAGGCAGAGCAGCCAAAAATGATTTCGCTAGAACCACCCTACCAGCCATAGATAAGGACTTTTCCTTCCAAGCATTTAGTCTATTATTTGTCTTATCAAGAATATACTTGAAAGTACTCTTACTGACTTTCTTGTGTAAAACAGGCACCCCTAGATACTTGCCAAGATCAGCAGTTACAGAAAAATTCAGGGCCTGACTCAGTTCTCTTCTTCTTGTATGGCTCACATTCTTGGAGAAGAAACATCTTGTTTTCTCATAGATGATTTTTTGACCTGAGGCCATGCAGAAGTGGTCCAGAATGTTAGACACCAGATTTGCTTGATCAACACTAGCTTCAGCAAATATAAGTAAATCATCTGCAAAGAATAGATGGGATAATGGAGGTCCATTCTTACCTAGCTTCATTGGATGCCACTCTTTATTCTCTACAACAATGTTTATCAAATGTCCCAATCTCTCTATGCATAGAACAAATAAGTAGGGAGATTGAGGGTCTCCTTGTCTAATCCATCTCGAAGGTTTGAACTCTTCAGTTCTGGTTCCATTCCACAATATATCCATTGAAGCTGATGTGACACATTCCATAATAAGTTCCACAACTGATGTAGCCAGCCCTGTTGGAAGAAGAGTATCTTTCAAAAACTCCCAATTCACCCTATCATAGGCTTTTTCTAAGTCTACCTTGATAGCCATCCACCGCTTTTAGCCCTTCTTTGTCCTCATGGAGTGAAATATCTCTTGGCTAATGATGATGTTATCCGAAGCATGCCTTCCTTTGACAAAGCTACACTGGTTAGACATTATTAAAGAGCTGATATGATTTTTCAATCTTGAAGCTATCACCTTGGTGATTACTTTATACACTATATTGCATAGACTGATTGGTCTAAACTGGCTTATCATCTCCGGATTCTCCACCTTAGGAATCAAGCAGATTAGTGTCTGATTAATGCTAGCTACTCTCTTTGGGTCTTCGAAAATTTCCCTAATCAGATTCATTACAGAGCTTCCCACACTATCCCATTGAGATTGTATGAATATGGCATGAAGCCCATCAACTCCAGAAGCTTTGTAAGGATGCATTTTGTAGATAATGCTCTTTTCTTCATCATTCTTTTGGCACCTTCCAATCTTTCTCCAACTATCATTATCGATCACTGGGAACCTATTCCCAATGCAGAGCTTCGAGATACACTGGTTTTCCTCCACATACATATTCTTGAAAAAATTAATAGCCATTAATTTGAGTTCCTCTGGGTCATCCACCCAAACTCCATCTTCCTTTTTTAGAGTTGTAACTTTATTCCTTCTATTCTTGGATACAGTGGCTGCATGGAAGAATCTAGAATTCCTGTCTCCAAAGGCAAGCCAGTTACATCTGGACCTTTGGAACCAGGTAAGCTCCTCTTGGATGCATATAGCATTCAGTTCCTACCACAGTTCTCTATGTAGTCTCTCAATTGCTTCATTTGGCCCTCTATTAAGCTGGTTATCCACCCCCCTGAGCCTTCTTTGAATCTGGAATTTCTTTTTCTGATCCTCCTTAAATCTGTCCTGATGCCAACTAGTAGCTTCCTTATGAAATTTGTTTTTTGCAGGAATCCATTCAGCCTCCTTACTCCAACAATTCTCCACCACCTCCCTAAAGCTTGTATTGGTCAACCAGGCTGCCAGGAACCTGAATGGTTTGGGACCATCAGTGTTTCTACAACCATTTCCATCTTTTAAAACTATAGGTCTATGATCCGATCCATAGAATTGAAGGTGAACCATATACCTATCAGGAAAGCTTCTATGCCATTCTTCATTCACCACAATTCTGTCAATCCTTTCTCGCAAGGTTCCCCTCCTCCAGTTAAACTTAAGACCAGAAAATCCTAAATCAGATAGACCACTTGCACTGAGGCAATCATCAATGTCCTTCATGCTGTCCCAACAAGCCCCAGCTCCTCCATGTTTCTCCCCTGCCTCTAAATAAGCATTGAAGTCTCCCATAGCAGCCCATTTACCTCCACCATTTACAGCAAACCTCTTCAAACTATCCCAAAGAAACCTTCTCTCAGCTCTCCTACGACTTCCATAGATGAAAGTAAAAAATTTCTCCACCCTAGAACTTAGCCAAAAAATTTTGGTGTGAACATATTGGTAGTTCTCCTCTATAATATGTATATTAGTCAAATTTTTAAACCATAAAATCCAGATCCCCCTAGAAAATCCAACAGCATCTTTTATGAAAAAACTATCGAAGCCTAAATTTCTTGCAACATTTTCAGCTTTTTTCCACTGATTCTGGTTTCCAATAGGACCTGTATCTGAATCTTATTTTGATACACAACACCTTTAATAATAGCAGAAAAGCCCTTCTTCCCTGCTCCTCTACAATTCCATGTACTAACTATCATAAAAATAGAGAGACAGATAAGAAATCGACCTCCAAACTAACCATCTCCCTGGTTCATCATCTGACTTCAACAGCATTAGTGATGTCATCTAGAGCCATTGCTACTCTTCCATCTTGGCTTATGTTCTTCCCTCCATCTCCTCCATCTGGTGGATTTTCCTTCAACATAGGAACAGGTTTATTCTTGCTTTCTGCATCATTACTTTTGACCTCCATTTGAGTTGCTTCCATAACTGGTGGTTTGGAGCTGAAAGAAGAATCTCCATGTAACCTTCCCCCAAAAGATCCCCTGTTGACCAGGATAGCTCCCCTACTGGATTGCTTGGGAAACTTATCCCTTATAGGAATATTCGTGCCCAATCCTAAACTTTGATAGTAGACTTTTACTCAAGTCTATCTCAACATAAATGCGTGCGAACCTGCCTCTATCAATGATCTCTTGTAACTACCCTTGCCCGCTATTCCTTAAGGAGTTCTCGCCAATCCTCAATGTTCTCCCAACCATGTTGCCCATTCTCCATAGGTCTTTGTACGTATAGAATTCCCTAGGAACTCCTGGTATTCTGATCCAAACCGCCATTTTTTTGACTCTGTCATCGTATGGGTCAAAGTTTGGCCTCCATCTTTGGACTATGAGATAGTGATCCGCCACTATCCATGGTCCCTGTTGCTGCACGAAGAGGTAGTCCTGCGTTTTCTCAAACTCTACCATGTAATGGTCGTTCTCAAGATCCAATACCTTGTATTCTCCTTCTAGGTTCCACAACTTGAGAAGCCTATTCCACAGGAATTTCGCTCCTAGTCTTTTCCCCAAGAGCTTTACTATCAGCGCCTTTCTCCACCTTTTGCATTGTTCCAGTTTCTCCAGTACATCGAACTGGTAGAAGGGATTTAGTGGATCATCATCCCCTAACTGCTCATACGCTTTCATCACTTCTTCTTCCTCGATTTCCTCTTGCTTCCACTGAGCAAGCCAATCATCTTCCTTCTCGTGGATCCCATCCTAAACACCATTGATACATAGCAGATGGTCCTTATACGACACTAGCTTCCAGGGATCTCTCCTCACTTCCTCTTCCTTCCCCGGATCTGTTCCTGTCACTTCCACCTCATCCGAATGCTTCATTCCATCTTCTTCAATCTCCATTGCGCCCGCAATCGAAGGATCTACATGCATTTCCAGATCCATACCTGTATCTCCCTTTTCCTTCTTTGGCTCTCTGATGATTTTTGAATCCCCCTCAGAGATGGGGGATCTTCCCCCTTTCACCACCATGAGCTTTCGAAAACCCTTTTTTTGTGTGTGGATAATTTTAACTTCCTTTTGGATAATGAGCTTTCGAAAACCCTAGCGGAGCTTTAACAAATCTTTTCACGCGCCTTAAAATACTAGATAATTAGATTAAGCATATTTATTTCTTAGTCGTGATAAAAATTTCTTTTGGAACTTACACTATTTTTTATTTGATTTGATAATAAATAGATATACTGATTCAACCGTCAAAAGCGGAATTTAATTTCTATAACGTGCTACAGCTGAAGGTGATTATTGTTCAAAAAGTCATTATCAAATTCGTTTCTTACTATTATTATTATTATTTTTCTGCAACTTTTTGAGAAGCTTCGAAATGTCTCTGATTTTTATCCTGATAGTGGGGTATGTATGGGTACGTTGGCGTCCTAGGATGGGAGTTTTCGATATATTTTAATTTCTGAAATTTTGCTTAAAAGATGCAACTTGACAACCCAAAAACTTTAGAGCATGAGCTAAGGGCAGAAAGAAGTTACGATTTATAACTTCAATCACTAAAAATATCATTTTTCATTTCTACCTTCCCTAACTCAAGTTTACTTGATGGAGTCCTACAATTAACGTATTTTCTGTGAGTTATTGTTAGAACTTAAACAAATTTGAATTGAATATGATTTTGTGCTTTTAATTATTTATTTATTTTATATATTGAGTGCTACGATTTACTTAACGATTGGATGAGATGAAAAGAGTGAGAAAAGCATCCTTGGGAGGAAAACAAATATATTAGCAAACGATAAAACACATCAATATGTGGTGTGGAAAATAGTATAAATAAATTTATGGTAGTATATAATCTGCAAGATATTCAGATCAATAATAGAAAATAACAACCATCAACGTTTAAAAGCTACCTTTTCGTTGATGAGGAAAAACAAATTGAGTACATATGGTCAAATTGAATGAAAAGTAACTCACGTCCACCATCGTTTAGGGTATTCATCCTAATTGGAAGAAGAAATAGAGAGAAAAACGAAAGGAAACTCTGAAAATTCTTATTCAATGATCAAAACAGCTTTTACAACCTTATTTATTTGACCCTACACAGAAAACGCTAACCACCTAGCATACGTCCTTTTCACTGATAGCTACACTTAGTGGAATTAACCAACAAACTAACAAACATCATTCTAACACATCACACGTGACACTCATGCCACATAATCCTCTAAACGAACTGAATTCCTTTTGGCTCTCCGAGAGCTACCAATAAATCTTTGGTACTACTGTTGTACCTAGATTCAGTGCATCTCATGAATGAGAGCCTTACACATCAGACGAGAGAGAAAAAATTTGACAGAAAAAAAAATATTTTAGCTGATATGTAATATTTTCATTGGTGGGATGCACTGAATCTTTGGTACAACAGTAGTACCAAAGATTTATTCGAGACCTACGTATCGTAACACCATCTTTTTTTAATGTTATTTTATTTTTTATTTTTTATTTTTTACAATTTGCTGAACTTAATCTCGACCCCATCACCAGGTGCTGGATGGGAAAGATAAATTATATCTTCGTTTGGGTTGAGGAGTTCCCACCTGAATTGAATTCATGAGTGAAAAATACAAATCAAAATGCATATTTGGTATCAAAGTTAAACCAAACTATGTTAACAAGAACTATATATATGATCAAACTTTACTTATATCCTATGGACAAGTGATGAAGCAGAAGTGCGAGTTGAATTCTGGCAAGCGTGTTTCCAGGGCATAGTCTTGGTCCAGAGCCGAAGACTAGGTAAGTTCCAGGCTTTGCAGGCTCCTAAGAATTATAAACAGTCACTTTTGTAAAACAAGGAACTACTGAAAAGGCATTAAATTAATAAAACCCAAGGGAAAAGTTACCATACATTCCATCTATCAGGGTTAAAATACATGGGATCCTCAAAGTTCTCTGCGCTTGTATGAATGTACCGAAACAAGACAATTACTTTCCATCCCTTTGGTATCTTATAACCTACAAATATATTGAGTTTAAAGATAATATTAGTTATTCTTAAAAAATAATAGTAGTAGTAGTTTCAAAATCAATAATTGTTAGGGTCACAAAAATGGCATGGGTTCTCGCACATTATTTATTATTTATTATGGACACTATATTATCACAACAAATTTGGTTTCAACAGATATATAGTTCCAAAACAAATTAATACACTCAAAGAAAATAGAGAATTATGATAACTAGTTAGTTGAATACTAGATTTATGCAAATATATCTCAATAAATTATGACGTTCAAATATCATTATATGACACGTATGCACTTTTATATTTTCTATGGTCAATTAAAATAAAATATTCCTTCTTTATGCCCAAGCGTATATACCTAGTAGTAATTTTCTCAGAAATTGCAACCTTGTACCTTTGTAATCAATTTCTTTGTCAACTTTTCTGAAAGTAAATGCCGCAACATTGGCCATTCTTAGTGCTTCTTCAACGACCTGTGTTCAATTAAATTAATCTAACGAAATTAACCAAGGTTTTTCGATATATATATGTATATGGACTTTACTTTTCTTATGTAGTAGGAGATAAATGATCTTATGTTATGAGACAAATAGAGTGAGGTTCACCAATTTTTTTTTATAAAAAAAAGACACAGCTTTTTATGCGAGTGTATTATGAGAGATAAATTTCATACAACATAAGAGTATAATTTCTATATATATATATATATATATATATATATATAATAACTTTTATTGTAGAAGTTATTATCTTCTTGCAGACACAAAAATCAAAAGATAAAATGAAAGAGGTTAGAGAAATAAAAATGAGCTGAGCCCATCATTTGATCTCTTTGGAAAAATAATAACTTTTCATATATATATATATATATATATATATATGTGGGGTAATTGATTCTAATACAAGAGGACACATTTTTGTCTCCGGCAGCATGCACAAAAATGCTATGGTCCCACTATTTAAAAAGGGAATTAATTTTCTCATTTCATATAAGAAAATTTTCTCATGCTACACTCATAATACATAAGTGGGATTCATAAAAAAGTGAAAAAATAAAAAAGTTAAAATGGGACCCACTCATGTATTGTGAGTGTAGCATGAGAAAATTTTCTCATGTAAAATGAGAAAACTATTTCCCTTTAAAAAATTAAAATAAAGCTGCACAGGTTTTTTATGTCTCGGTAGGAGATATGTTTTTTTTCCGGTAAAGAGGTTAGAAAAATAAAAATGAGCTGGGTCCATCATTTGAATATTCTGCCTCGTGTGTGTATATATATATATATGGGGTAATAACTTGAAGGATAGAAAAATAAAAATGAGCTGGGTCCATCATTTGAATAAAAAAGAGGTTAGAAAAACATATTATCATTTGAAGGATAATAACTTCTCGTGTGTATATATATATATATATATATATATATATATATATATATATATATATAGGGTAATTGATTCTACTGCAAGAGGAGACATTTTTGTCTCTTGCTGCATGTACAAAAATGCTATGATCCCACTATAAAAAAATAAAATAAAGTTGGCATAGTTTTTTATGTCTCAGTAGCAGATATGTTTTTCCCGTGTAACAGGAAAAAAAATATATTCCAACATATGTATATATATATATATATATATATATATATATATATATATTTCAGCAACCAGTAAAAGACCTTTTTTGTGTATTTTAAATTTGAAATATCTTCAGTTGTGATAAAATCCCCCGGACTTTTCTCTTTGAAAGCCATGTTCTCTTCCTGCAAATACAAACAAAATAACAGAGGATTAGATGCACAAGAATTTATTCACTTTAATGAACTATCTGTTTGTAAAACACACAAATACCCTTAGCTTTCTGAGCACATTTGGATTCTTAGCAAGAAGGTAAATAGCCCACATTGATACAAGGGCAGTAGACACATATCCACCAGCCACTAGAGAAACAATGTTGTCTACCACTTCTCTGTCACTCAATCTGTTACCTTCATCATCTTCTATTTGCATCAATCCGTCCATTAGATCAGTTTTTTCAACCCTACGTTTGTTCTTTCTCTTATCTAACTCCATCCAGAAAAAGTCCTCAAGCTTCTTTCTACACTGAAATTTTATGGAACATTGATTATAGAGGAGTCCATTATTATAAAATCAAGGTACTGCTTGTCCATATTGGACTGGATTGAACCTGAAAAGCATGGTGGTAAGGAAAACCAGGCAAATTGATTGGGTAGGCTCTCATTCCTGGAAGTATGCCTTGAAAAAGCTTATCCAATGAATGTAGATGTGGACCTGGCTCCATGCTCACAAATAATTTTCCAATGTTTTCAAATGTCAGCTGCAATCAATAGTGATTCAATTATGATTTTAAACTTTTTAGGTACTCAATGAAAAATTCCATATCGTTATTATGCCAATATATGAGAACACAATAAGTACGCCAATCCTCGCAACCAGCCTAACAGTAGCTAGCTATGACCCAACCTACTCATGTGAGAGTAAGCTTATTATAAATAGTAAAATAGAATAAGTTCAGCCTCTTAAAAAAAAATCTATTTTGAAAGTGGCCATAAATTTTCTTTTACATGTGGTGCCTATAAGTTTACAGGCCAATTTATATCACATTATTTATTTTAAATAAAATTATTATTATTTTAATGATTTTGAATAATAAATAATATTATTAGAATTATATTTTAAGGATTCGTTTTTTCTGCAGTTATTGCAGATAAGTTATCTTCGGTAAGCCCAATACGACATTATTTTGGGACAGAAATCATGGAATTTTTGTTATTTTAATTCATTTCAGGGTTATTATAGTCTTTATAATTATAATTTTTAATCTTTCAATCCTAAAACGACGTCGTTTTAGGAATAAATGCAGATAACTTACCTGCATCATCTGCTCCAGAAATATTTTTCTGATATTTTAATTATTGAATACTTAATAAGCTTAAATAGACTAATAGGAATAGACTTTTATTTTTTAAATATATTCATGACCAAATTTATAATTTGGGTTTAAAGTATTTTGCATAGGTCTGGCCTATTTAACTCAAAGCTCAGCTCAGTCCAATCCATTTACACTCCTACTTCAAACACGCTTACTTCTAGAAACATTAAAAAAAAATAAAAAAAAATCAAACAGACTCCATACCTTTTGAGTTTCAAACTTGGCTTTGATTTTACCCATTTGTGCCCAGGATTGAAGAGTATTGACCATGCCAGGTTGGACAAGAAGAGCGATACGGCGTAGAGCCTCAGGCCGGTTGATAGCATTGGTGACAAAGTTGCGAAGCCGCGCGTGGGACTTCCCATGGACAGCCCCCATGGAAGTTCTGCCCATGAGTTCAACAGATGGCCATTCGTCTACGAACTTGTCCGCTGAATGAAGCACATATTTATTCAATTGTGGTGTGTATACAATTATGGATGGTGACCCAAAGAGGTGCGTCCTGAACATGCCTTCTCCATCGCCATATCTATTTCATTAATTGTTTATCCACAATCATACATATACCATCGTGACAATGAAGGTAAGTTGGTAACAGTTTGAATAGAAACATTCATTCAAATTTTATGCTGCAAGATGCAATAAAGATTCAAATTCCACGTATATTTTGAATATGATAATTTGTGATCAGAGGGCTTGCATAAATCCTCGGTATATATGAATTTAGGAACAAAAATTAATATATTTAAAGGGATTAACATTTCCATCAAGGAGATAAAATTCTTTTATGTAAGCTCAAAATGACATGAATATTTTTTAAAGAATATTTTAATAAAACTCATGATATAAGAGAAAAATAAAATTTTCAAAATACTCTTTATTTTTTCTATGGGAAAAACTATTCTCATGTTACATGAGACAAGTTTTCTCTCCTACATACCCTTCGATAACTGTGCCACATTTTTTTTTTTTCAAGTGGTGGAGCCCAATAATTTGTATCTATGACAAGAGATAACTATCTTCTTTAACATGAGATTAATAAAACCCTTTTTTTATACCCAAAAACAATGTCATTTTGGTATTGTTTGGGATAACTTTATCTCTTGTGATAGGAAAAACAATTTTTTGAAAAGAGTTGTGACTTTTTTTTTTTTTTTTTTGAGTATATATATAAATAAAAGTAGATTATTAGACTTGATTCAGTAAAATAGGCCAAATAATGATCACATAATAAATTTCCTTAAAATTCTTTTAATTACGGTATAATTATATTTTTCCAAACAAAAATTTAATCAAATGCTTAAATATGGGATTAATGTTAAATATCAAGAGTCGAGAGGATTGTGAATAATTTGTGTGTCTCAACTACACGATGAGGTTCTATTATATAACTAGAAGAAAAGAAAATACAAAGAGATATATATGATGTGTGACATTTAAAGTACTATTCTTTTTTTTTTTTTTGGAGATATTTCAATCGGTTCATTGCTTCGTGACTAGTGCAATTCAAGACGAGTCCCGGAATTAAGACTTTAAACCTCTTAAAAATGGTACTTCTAAACTACTATTTACAACATTGATGAAGTGCAAAAACTTACTTGTGTCGTTTAGAGTTGATAAAGTCATCTGGGCGTCGAAGAAATTTGAAGTACCATAGGAAGCTGATCATATCTCCAATGAAAGGGAAGCCCATGTGGCCTGGTGGCAACTTGGTGCCAGAAGCTGAACACTTGATTCTAAGAGGAACAACGTACCAGAGCTCATTCCACCACCACAAAACACTCCCTACCACTCCCAATGTAAACAGACCCAACCACACTAAACTTGAATCCATTAATGTAAATCTTATCTCTCGACTTGTGTAGTTGTGACTCGGTTACTTCATTTACTTTCACCCACGAAATGCTCCCACATGCAGGAATGTGTCGTTCATATAAATAACACTTCTGTTTTGTAGATGCTTTATTCGGAATGGATGATTCCTCCAACTTCAAGGTACAAGTCAAAACAAACGAACCCTAATTGCTCCGCAACAAAGGGAGAATTTTATTCCTTCATTTATTGAATTCAAGATAAAGGACAAAATTGGGGGTACAGAAAATAATTAAAAAAATTGATTGGTTCTCGTATTAAATATTTCTATAATAATATAATAAACAGAAGCTATATCTGGAGCAGAACACTATGATTCCAGCAGGCTAACGTAGGATTTATCACATGACAAGGCAACTACATTAGCTCATGTTGTTGGAATGTATGATGTACTGACACCGATATGAAACACGAAATACGACATAATACTTCGATATGTAAATTACAAAAATATTATATTTCGATATGTTAGAACATGTTTTAAATAATATTTTTAATATATATAATATAATTTGTATTTAATATATATAACAGCTTATGATAAGTCATATAACTAATCAAAATATTTTTTTACTCAAAACTTCTTGGAATTCCTTTAAAAAATTGAAGCATAAATAAATTTTTTATTTTTTAAACCCATACAATGGCACTAGACAACAATTCTAAATAGCCACTTAAGAAGACGACGTTGCCAAGCTATTCAGAAAAAAAGAAAAGAATCGAAACACAACACAACTAGAAAAAAGAGGTAATGGCGTGCAATTGGTCAGTTCAAAAACACATGGATCGCAAAAAATCATCCATAGCCGTAGGTAAGTTTCTATTTCACACTCTAAAGCTTAGAGAGGCGCACGGAACACATGGCCATGAACAAGCAAATTCACCTAAATAGCTAAACATTGTTGACGTCTCAAAAGAAGATACACCCACTTTAGAGTCACAACAACCAGAGTCAACATTGTTAGAATTGGAATCTTCACACAGATGCAAGAGGCAACCACACAAGTATCTATAAAAATTTTCCTTTATAAAACTTGTTTTCTTTCTCTTCGTTGTCTTTATTGTTTAGAAATAATACATCTACTTATAGGAACTGTAGAAAACAGAAACTTAAATCATATTAATACCCATAAAACAGATGTAGAAACCCACACCCATTTAATCAAAACTGCTAAAACAAACGGCTAACTCTTAACCATCATTCATTTCTAAAAATAAAACTTCTAAATCCATTAAATGAAAACGGACATTTAACGTTTATCTAATAACACTCCTCCATAAACTTAAATGCTTCTTCCATCTTTCATGCCAATCATTCTTTTGCAGTTTTCCAGCAGCAACGTCGGTAGTGGTTTTGTGAAAACATCTCCGACTTGGTCTTGACTTGCCACATGTAATAACTCCACATTTCTTTCTTTTACTTGATCCCGAATGAAGAGAAATCAGACGTCAATATGCTTGCTTCTCTCATGACTCACCGGGTTCTTGGCTAACTCTATAGCTGACTTGTTATCAACTCGGATCTCAGTTGGGCTGACTTGTTTTTCCTCCAGCTTGCTTAGTAAGTTCCTGAGCCATACTGCGTGACAAACACACCAAGACGCAGCTACATATTCAGCTTCACAGGTCGACAAAGTCACAATGGATTGCTTCTTCGAAATCCAAGTAAATGTTGTGCTGCCCATGAAGAATACATATCCCGACGTACTCTTTCGATCATCTACATCTCCACACCAGTCACTATAAGTGTACCCAATTAACTTATAATTTTCGGACCTCGAATAGTGAAGTCCCAGTGAAGCTGTCCCTTGTATATACCTCAAGATTCTTTTTTCCGCCTTCCAGTGTGAATAACTCGGCTCCTCCATGAACCGACTTACAATCCCAACACTCAAAGAGAGATTCGGTCTTGTGCATATAAAATAACGAAGACATCCCACCAAACTTCGGTAGTTTCTTGCGTCAACTCGATCTCCACCATCATACTTTGAGAGTTTTGAACCGGGTTCCATAGGAGTTGAAACCGGGTTGCAATCTGCAATCATAAATCTTTTGAGAATGTCCTTTGCATATGCCTCTTGAGAGACAAAAATACCCGAGTTGTCTTGTCTGACTTCCAGACCAAGAAAATATTTCATCAGACCGAGATCTGTCATCTCAAACTCCTTTGTCATTGTTCTTTTGAGTTCTTGTATCATTCCATCATTGTTCCTCATAAAAATGAGGTCATCCACATAAAGAGCCACAAACAATACATCGTCTCCATTTTTCTTTATATAAAGTGCATGTTCATAGGGGCACTGTTCAAAACAGTTTTCTCTGAAATAAGTGTCAATACGAGTATTCCACGCCCGCGGTGCCTGCTTCAACCCGTAAAGAGCCTTCTTCAACCTCAGCACTTTCCTCTCTTCTCCACCTTTCATGTATCCTGGTGGCTGTTCGAGATAGACTTCTTCTTCAAGTACTCCAATCAAGAATGCCGACTTGACACCCATTTGAAATATCTGCCACCTATGTTGTGCTTCTTGTGAAATCAATAGCCGAATTGTCTCCATTCTCGCGACGGGAGCAAATACCTCGTCATAATCAATTCCTGCCTTTTGCTTGTAGCCCTTTGCAACTAGTCGAGCTTTATATCGTTCTATCTCCCCTTGAGCATTCATCTTCTTCTTGAATACCCACTTTACCCCGATGGGCTGACTTCCTCCAGGTAGCTCGGCTAACTCCCACGTGTTATTTCGATCAATGGCTTCTATCTCTTCATCCATGGCGTCTTGCCATTTCTTATCTCGGATGGCTTCTTCAAAGCTTATGTTCTCAGAATCTGCAAGAAGAAAAACAAAATGTACCTCACTTGTTGACTCATATATGTCCTGTATGCTTCACATCCTGGGTTGTCGTACCTCGTCTTCATCATCAGAAGCTTCAGAACTTGCCAGGTTGATAATTTGTGGTGAGATTCTGCCTTCAAAATTTACCTCGGATGAATTGCTCCAGTCCCACTCATTCGCTTCATTGAACCTTACATCTCGGCTCACTACGACCTTCTCGTTGACGGGATCAAACAACTTATACCCCTTTGTTTTTTCATCATATCCCATAAAAACATATTTCCTTCTTTTGTCCTCGAGCTTAGTTCTGAGCTGGTCCGGTACGTGTGCATAGGCTATACTACAAAATACTCTAAGATGAGCCACTGATGGCTTTTGACCGCTCCAAGCTTCCTATGGTGTTTTGACATCTAAACTAGAATGTGGACATCGGTTCTGCACATACACAGCACACTGCACAGCTTCCGCCCAAAACTCTTTCGGCATCTTCTTGTTCTTCAGCATTGACCGAACCATGTCAAGAATAGTCTGGTTCTTCCTTTCAGCCACGCCGTTCTGTTGTGGTGAGTATGGTGCTGTTAAAAACCTCCTTATCCCATGTTCCTCACAAAATGTCATAAATGTTGTCGAGGTATATTCCCCACCTCGGTCAGAACGCACCGACTTGATGAATCTTCCTGTTGCCTTCTCAATCATTACCTTGAACTTTTTGAACACTTCAAACACCTCGGACTTCTCCTTCAGGAAATAAACCTAAGTTTTCTGTGAGAAATCATCAATGAATGAAATAAAATATTTCTTACTGCTAAAGGATTATGGGGTGATTGGACCACACAGGTCACTATGAATCAATTCCAGAGGCTGCTTGGCCCGAAATCTCGCCATCTTTCTGAAACGTGGTCCTAGCATGCTTGCCAAGTACACAACTCTCACAAAAATTTCCTTCATAGTTAATGTCAGGCAGTCCGTCCACCATCTTCTTCTTTGCCAGCTCGATTAGACTACCATAATGTAGGTGACCAAAACGGAGGTGCCAAAGTGACGCCTTGTCTTCCACCTCGGCTTGTAAACAATCGACCCGTACACTTCTCAGGTTCAGTTTGTACATACAATTTCTGCCCATTTCAACTCGAACTATCAGCCGACCTCGCTCATCTTTCAAATACAATACCCGGTCTTTCATCATAACCGAGTAACCTTTCTCCATCAATTGATCAATGCTTGAAATATTGCTTTTTAGGTCGGGTACATGGTACACATCTCGGATTGAGCCAATCAACCCGTCCTTTTGCAGGAAGCATACCGTACCACGGCCTTTTACATCAACCTTCGAGGCATCCCCGAACGAAACATGTCCGGTCTCCACCTTTCTCATCTCCTTGAAGAAATGCTTATGTCCGAACATGTGGTTACTTGCACCCGTGTCAAGATACCATTCCATGTCATCGTCTGAACTTTCTTCATTGTGTGTCATTAACAAAACACCATCCTTCATCTCCCCTTCTGTGGCTAGGTTGGATGTCTCCTCCACCCTTTTCTCTTCTCTGCATTCTCTTGCAAAATGTCCGATCTTGCCACAATTGTAACATTTATCCGAGTTACAATCTTTTGAATAGTGACCATACTTACCACACTTGTAGCACTCAATGTTGGAGTAATACGACCGACCTCCTCTTCGACCTCGTACTCTTCCTCTTCCATCCTTTCTCCTCACTTTGCCCTTCTTGACAACGACCTCTACCACCACGGCCATTTCCACGTCCCCCACAACCACGACCTCTACCTCGAAAGTTTTGAGAATAGAGGGCCTTCTCGTCTTTGATTGATGCCTTGGTTTGAAGCGCTTGCTCAAGTGTCTCTTCCTTCTTCTTCTTCGTACGTTGTTCATGTGCCTCAAGGGAACTATCGAGCTCATCAACAGTGAGCGTTGCTAGATCCCTTGACTCTTCTATGGCACATACGACATTCTCAAAATTGTCGGTTAAAGACCTCAAGATCTTTTCCACCACTCTCGCATCGGCCAGCGCTTCTCCATTCCTGTTTAACTGGTTCACCACGGTTTGAACACGCGTGATGAAGTCGGACACACCTTCCGTCTCCTTCATTTTCATTCCTTCAAACTCACCGCGAAGGGTTTGATGTCGGACTTGCTTAACACGGTCAGCTCCTTTGTAGACATTTGCCAAAATGTCCCACGCTTCTTTTGAAGTTGCAGCACTCACAATCTTCTCAAAGCCTGACTCGTCAACAGCTCGGAACAGCATGTACAATGCCGCCTTGTCTTTTGATCGCGTCTTTTTCAACGCCTTATTTTTAGCTATCGTATAACTTGCGGTAGATGCCAATCTGTGAAACCATCTTGAACTACCTCCCAACTATCTTGGGATCCAAGAAGAGCTTTCATTTGGATGCTCCAATTCTCGTAATTTCCCTTTGTCAATTTAGGCAACGCCATATTACTCTCACTACTCACATTCTCCATAGCTCTGATACCAATTTGTTAGAATTGGAATTTTCACACAGATGCAAGAGACAACCACACAAGTGTATCTATAAAAATTTTCCTTTATAAAACTTGCTTTCTTGCTCTTCGTTGTCTCTATTGTTTAGAAATAATACATCTACTTATAGGAACTGAAGAAAACAGAAACTTAAATCCTAGTAATACCATAAAACAGATACTGTAGAAACCCACACCCATTTGATCAAAACTGCTAAAACAAACGACTAACTCTTAACCATCATTCATTTCTAAAAACAAAACTTCTAAATCCATTAAATGAAAACGGACATTTAACGTTTATCTAATAACAAACATCACAATCACAACAATTTGAAAACGTGGATATATAAGCGGCGACTAGCTAGAAGAGAAATTCGCGGTGCTGAATACTGGTATATCGTTGTTTGTGTGGTTATAAATACGACGAGGCCGTTGGTGACCCTTTATATCTGGTTCAGCCAAGATTTCAGTTTGAGAAGCTACCAGATGATTGGCGTTGCCCAACATGTGGGGCGGCAAAGAGTTTCTACGGTGGCGACTTTTATGTTTTATATTATAATTATTTTACTTTTATAAAAATTTCAAATTTTTTGCATTTCTATCATTTGACCGTATTGGATAAGGTCAAATCGTGTGTTGAGATAGTCAATGTGTCCGAAAAAATTGACCGCGTGTCGGTGTCAGACACACATATTTTTCTTAAAAATGACGTATCGGTGCTTCCTACGTTGGATCCATTCAACATTCTGATGCCTCAACTTTTTATTGCTCATGATCAAGGGTACATGTCAGGCGGGTCCAAAGAGGAGCTCATGGCTAAGGATCACGACTTTCTATTAGGCGGGTTCAGAGGGAGCTAATGACGGGAGACCACCACCAATGAGCTAAGCTTAACCACCCATATCAAATGAGTCCGACACCACATTTCAACCCAAAATCTTAAGACATTGGATTCATGAATCCATCCACTTCACTTAGCTCATTACCAACTAATGTGAGACTCATCACATTTGAATATTCTAATAATCTTCACCGTACCTATATTTTTAATATATGTAATTTGTTATAATTAACCAATCAATGATGTTTCTCCTTAGACTCAATCAACTTTCTTGTTGTAGTATGTATTGTCATGAACTGTCCAACTGAGGCAGGCAGTATATGCTCACTTCCACTCAAAGACTTTCATGGAATAATAAATACATTAGATCTTATTAAAATTTATTAAAAAAAACAATAAAACAGAGATAGCATATGAAAATTTCACCCGTAATATCTTCATTACATGCATGCCCCCTCTTTTTATAGTAGTTACCGATACAGCGACACAATAATTTAAAAATTGCTCTAACAACCAAATAGCAACTCGGTAACAGAGTCATACTGAAAAACTGTCTCGCTAACTACTTACAAGAAAATGACCGTAACATAATATAAGTGTGTTATATGAAAATACGTTAAATTGTGTACGTCATGTTAAAACATTTATTTTCTCCTACCTCCGAATTATTCCTCGCATCTGGTTGACTCTCCCTGTTCACACTCTGCTGATGCAATACAAGTTGTTGGGTTCATTATTTTTATGGACAGCAAGCTTGTCGATAGCTTGAAAGCAGTGGTGGAGAGAGATGTTACTGTACTTTTAGTTATGTTGGAGGTTAAGAGTTTAAGAGATAAGGATTTAGAGTTACTTGAAGTATTACAAAAAGAGACATCAGAATTTGGAATGCTCAATAGTATTACATTCAGTTTAGAAAAATCTAGAGATAATGCAAATTATTGGGCTCCAGTCCATTCGGACTGAAATAATCACGATCTCACTTATTTGACTTGTATATGAACATATTATTGGACTATATTATTAATATATCCAACAATCTTCTCTTATGTTAATCATACAACACAATCCAATATTAGTGTAATATTCAAATAAATATGAATTATTCATATCCAGTCCAAGATAATTAACTCAGATTAATCAAAGAGTTTTGATAGTAAGATATTAAACTTAATCATCATTTGCAATCTAAATAAGTAAATCATCATCATTATGAATCTATTCTGAGATCAACATACCAAAATAATATTTTCAATTTAATATTTAATCTAAACTAATCACAATCTCAACATCAAAAACAAGTTTCAAGATCAGTTCATAATCAACAATATTAATAAAATAAAGATAGCAAAATGTAAGTCTCAAATAAATAGACTCCATCAAAATAGGCAATAGTAGGTAAACTGTCAAGTCCCCACACACTCCGAGTGATATATTCATTCATCAAGCAGGTCATCTTGGTCAATATCCCACTTATTAAGCTCTCCCCCATATCTGTCATCCCCCATACAATATCAAATATGAATTTCATATTATCATGAGTTCAATTAATTGAATAATCTATGGAACCAATGCACTCCATGAAAAGAATATAAAGGTTCAACGGTTTCGATGATAACAAACAAGCATGGAAAGAAAGCTTCAAGGAGCAACCATAAAAAAGAAGTCTAAACAAGATCAAGACTCAAGCTTCAAGAGACGTCACTAAGTCCAAACTCAGAGTATTATACTGTAGGACTTAGGATTATTTGTAAATTGATTCTTTACAAGAATGAAGCTCAAAGTTTTTTTTTTAAATACATGCATTAAATCATCGTTTGACATTCAAATACATTCTTAACATGAAAACATACTTTTCAATGTTCATAAAATGTTCAAACAATATTTGAAAATGATGTGAATCAAGAGAAAACCATTTTAGGGCGAAAACCAACCTTTCAACAGGTTGGTAATCGATTACCAAACAATGGTAATCGATTACCAAACAATGGTAATCGATTACCCTTCATGGTAATCGATTACCCACTCAATGGTAATCGATTACCTACTGTACAGAGACAAAAATAACGGCTATAAAACGGCTAGTTTGCGAAAATGAGTAGGAAAAAGGCCATGGGGCCCTCTATAAATAGAGACTACTATTCCCATTGATGGGACACACTTATTGATCATCATTACTCATTAATTCTCATCCTATCTTGCCTTATTCTTGTCTTCTTGATCATAAATCCTATTTGAGTTTTATTCTTGTAAGAGTGTCATATACCCTTGTTCTTCAACTTGTGTTATTTGTACTTTGAGAGTACTTAGCCATTATTAAACACCTTCCTTGATTACTTGAGTAGCTAGGGGAGTGAACCCTACACACTTGAAAGGTCACCAAATTCCTAAGAAAATTTGGAGTGAAAAAGTGTAAGGCATCAAGAGCCCGAAGTCTTGAAAAGTTGTAGTGGTTTGTCAAGCACCCTCAAGCTTGATAGTTAGTGAAAAGAATTGATCGAGCGGCTTCAGTCTGGACGTAGGTCACGGTGGTGGTGACCGAACCAGGATACATCTAGTTTGCAATCTCTCTAACCTTAATCTCTTTATTTAAGTATTGAAATTGCATCTTAGATTGTCTTTATATATTCACTTGCTTACTTTGTTGATCACTACACTTGCTTTTACTATTAGACACTTCTTTATTAAATCACTTTATTGAAGAAATAGTCTGTAAAACATCAAAGGAGGTACTTTGCGAAAAGATTTTGTAAAACTCAATTCACCCCCCCTCTTGAGTATTGAAGCCACCTGTCCAACAAGTGGTATCAGAGCTTGAACTCTTGTATAAAGAGCTTAACCGCTTCAAGAGAAGGGATGAGTTCTTTGAACCATGATATGCCCCTTGAGGGATCATCTAGTACTAGACCTCCATTTTTCAATGGCGTCGATTATTCCTATTGGAAGAGTCGAATGAAAATATTTATTCAATCTAATGATTTAAAAGTATGGAGTGTAGTTGAAAAAGGGTATACACCACCTACTATAAAAAATGAGAAAGATGAAGATATTCCTAAAGATATAGATAATTACACCGAAGATGAAATTAAGAAAGGAAATTGGAATGCTAGAGTTCATAACTTGATTACAAATGCCTTAGGTCGTGATGAATACTTTCGTGTTTCAAATTGTAAGAATGCTAAGGAAATGTGGGATATTCTTCAAATAACCCATGAAGGAACTAGTGATGTTAAATTTACAAAATTAAATGCACTCACTAGAGAATTTGAAATGTTTGAAATTCATGAAAATGAAAGTATTCAAAGTATGCAAAAAAGATTCACACACCTTGTCACTCATCTAAATGCTTTGGATAAATCTTTTACTAACCTTGAGTTAATTGCTAAGGTAATGAGAAGTGTGCACAATAGGGAATGGCAACCCAAGCTGACAGCTATTACGGAATCAAAAGATTTGAAAACCATGGATCTTGCGACCTTGTTCGGCAAGCTCCAAGAGTATGAAATGGAGCTAACTAGAATAACCTTGAAGGAACAAGCCATCAAGAAAAGCAAGGGACTTGCCTTGAAAGCCTCAACACCAAGCAAAGAGAAGGATGAGGAAAAAGAAGATGGAGATTCCGAAAATGGTCTTGACGAAGATGAGATGAGTCTCTTCGTAAAGAAGTATGGAAAATTCTTTAAGAAGAATTTTTCAAAGAAATCTGCATTTCCCCCTAGAAGAAGATCTAAAGATGAAGGATCATCACAACTTACCATCACTTGCTTTGAATGTGGAAAAACCGGTCACTACAAATCGGATTGTCCAAATAATCAAAAGAAAGAAAAATATGAAAAGAAGCAAGGCAAGGATAGAAGGAACTTCAAGAAGGCCTATCTTGCTTGGGATGATGAATCTAGTTCTTCCGATGATGATTCCAAGGAAGAAGCAAATCTATGCTTCATGCAAGATGGAAGACCATCGGAGAAATCAAGCAAAGGAACTCAACATATATGTCTAATGGCAAATGAGGACAAAAATGAATCCGAAACCGAGGTAAACTCATCTTGCTCTACTTTTTCCCCTTCATATGATGAGTTGTCTGACATGTTTGAAGAAATGCATAATGAAACACTAATACATGTTAAAGCTCTTAGAGCATCAAGAAAAACTATTAATTCTTTGGAAAAACAAATTGCATCTTTAGAAAAGGAAGTAAAAGAGTTGAAGGATGAAAATGAAACTCTCAAATTACTTGATGCTAGCATTGATTGTATTAAATGCCTATCTTCAAATGATCATGCATTTTCATCATCATGTACTTCATGCAAAGATCTAAACAATGAAATTGATGATTTAAATGAAATTCTAAGCAAATTCACATGTGGAAGAGACAACTTAAATATGTTGCTTGGTAAACAAAGATGCATGTTCAACAAATTCGGTTTAGGCTTTGACACTAACACACAAGAAAAATCATATAAAAACTTTTTCATTTCACCATCCTACATGACAAGTAGCCCATTCATTAAATGTTTTCATTGTGGTGGAAAAGGTCATAGTGCATCCACTTGTAAAGTTAGAAAGAATGGTATTGTTAGGCAAAAGAAAGTGTGGGTTCCTAAGGGAACTAAGCCCAAGACTAACACACAAGGACCCAACATGGTGTGGGTACCTAAGATTAAATCTTGACTTTGTGATGTAGGTTTGTTTGAAGGATAAAAGCTTCAAGTGGTACTTGGATAGTGGTTGCTCAAGTCACATGACGGGAGATGTAACTAAGTTCCAATCATTCACCAAGAAAGAGCATGGACACGTTTCCTATGGAGATAACGACAAAGGAAAGATCCTCGGTATTGGAAAAGTTGGTAACTCCTCCTCCGTTTCTATAGAAAATGTTTTGCTTGTTGAGGGCCTTAGGCATAACTTGCTTAGCATTAGTCAATTGTGTGATAAAAATTATAAAATTATTTTTGACTCGACCTATTGTAAAATTGAGAGTCTAATTGATGGGCAAGTTAAGTTTCTTGGTCATAGAGTGGACAACATTTATATGATAGACTTAGATGGTATGCCTTCAAATGACGATAAATGTTTGATTAGTAAGGAAGATGACTCTTGGTTATGGCATAGAAGAATAACACACATTGGCATGGGTCAATTAAGCAAATTGATATCCTTAGACTTAGTAATTGGGTTACCAAAGCTCAAATTTGAAAAAGATAAAGTTTGTGATGCTTGTCAAATGGGAAAACAAGTAAAGGCTTCTTTTAAATCAAAAAATATTGTTTCTACCACAAAACCTTTACAACTTTTACATATGGATCTTTTTGGACCAACTAGAACCATGAGCTTTGGTGGCAATTACTATGCCTTGGTCATTGTGGATGATTATTCTCGCTATACTTGGACTTTATTTCTTACATATAAAAGCGATGCTTTTAAATCATTCAAGAGACTAGCCAAGCTTATTCAAAATGAACTATCTTCAAATATTACTTGCTAGAACGATGTTAAATGAAAATAATCTTCCAAAATATTTTTGGGCGGAAGCCGTTGGCACCGCGTGTTATGTTATGAACCGTGCTTTAATTAGACCTATTTTGAAGAAAACTCCCTATGAACTTTATAGAGGAAGAAAACCCAATATTTCATATTTTCATGTCTTTGGTTGCAAATGTTTTGTTTTAAATAATGGAAAAGAA